CAGGAGCCACTGTGAAGCTATTTACAGGTGTGTAGACACCTTATCAGTTACTACACAGTTAAAGAAAATGACTCATTCCCAGTTACCATTAACTGCCTGTCTCCTCAGGGAGGAGTGTGGCCTCACAGGCTTCTCCCCACCTCCATAGTAAATGTTGATAGGGCCATTTTTTTTTTAAGTAAAAGTTTTATATTCAGCATCTTCAAAATGAAGACATAATATATTTTACTTTCAAAGCAAAGAATGACTATTTAGGCATATGTTTCAATCCATAAAGTCTTATGCTGTCAAATGATTCCTGATGGTTGCATAATTGTCATCTAATTCATATAAACTCATTTGAGGGGCTGGTATAAGCAAGCACTACATGAAGTCTGTTCAGTATGAAAAGAACTCTACAATTTTAAGAGTGAAGTCCCAGGAGTTTCTTATTATCTCAATGTCTGTATATACTCAAAAACAAAACAAAAACAACAATAAAGCAGGCATAAAAGTCACCAAGAAAATGATGATCATGTGCCATTCTTATTAGCCCTTTAGTTTTTGTCTTCTAACTTAAATGTCCTTTAAGTAGTAGTAGACTTATATTTTGATCACAAGTGCAGTCTATATGTGAATAGATACACATAAAACATCCTCCCCTTCACTGTCCCTGCTAAGTAGAAAAAAGAGATAAATGTCTCTTCATGCCCTACAGGGCCACAGTCCTACCCATGGTCTTAAACAGATTGTAACCTGACCTTCTAAAACCTTTCTTGAACCACAGTTCTTCCCGTTGAGACCATCTTGGGAAAGACGACCTCCTGACTTTGTCAGTAGTCTCCGAAAGGTAAGGATGATAACTGGCTGGCAGGCAACTGGGAGGGGTCTTCAGCAAACTGGGCCATGCGAAACTACAGGTGCAAATCTTGTCAAGAGGACATCAGCTCCTTCAAGTAAAGTGAGGAGCGTTCACTGCAGCTGACCCCGCCCCGACCAGTAGTCCATTTCTAGGTGGCAGTGGTTCTCCTTCGAAGGTATCAGCAGAGATGGGATTCCAGGGTTTCTTCTCTTCATGGAAAAAATCCCCTCTAGACTTCAAAACTGCCCCCATTAATTGTGGCTCTCTGATTTTCAATAGCTCCTTTTAGTTTATTATTTACAATTTAAGAATTTTGAAAGCCAGGCGGGCATGATGCTGCTCACCTCTTTAATCCCGGCACTTGGGAGGCAGAGACAGGTGGGATCTCTGTGAGCTCGAGGCCAGCCTCATCTACAAATCGAGTCCAGGACAGCCAAGGCTACATAGAGAAACCCTGTCTCAAAAAAAGCAGCAAACAAACAAGAATTTTGAAACCTCTGATAGCTTGAAAGATACCGTTGTCCGCGGTACCCGTGGTAAAACCACAGCGCAGCCACCCACATGCTTTCAGGGGCAAGGTTCCCTCAGGCGCTCCCCCATCTCAGCTCCAGCCAGCGATGCCAACAGGTCCATGCTTGTGCAGGTTTTGTACAAGGAGTCATGACGAGCTGGGCAAAAATACCTAGATTCAGATCCATATGCTTCTACTGTCATGGTCATAAAACGCTGTGGAATTTATGCCATGTGCTAGCACCTATTTCAAGAAACGTCAGTGGACTTGACACGGTATAGGCAAGTTGAAGGGTGAGTCCCCTTTTATCCCTTGTATGTGCCTATAGAACAAAATGAGAAGTATGGGTAGCGTATCAGGGAATATGAGCACGTTAGTGTCGACAGATGCCACAGATCGCCCGTTAAGCCAGCTGCACTGAGCTGCATGTGTACTCAAATGGAGTACACATTTTAGTTTTTTCTTCATTTGATGAACACAAATAAACAGCAAGCAAATTAACACAAGCAAACAGTTTTCACGTGTGTTATCTTTTTGTGTTTCTATTATCTGATTGCTTATAATTGTCCATGTTTACAAATAATGTTATATGGCTATTTTACTTACATGTGAAAATATCTTTATATTCTAAAATACAATGCTTTGTTATCTCTGCTGTTTATTATTTATGGCTTTTAATTTAAATGTTGATGTGGCCAAATTTAGTAGCTTTTCTTCTGTGGTTGTTAGCGTCTATCTAGTTTTAATATCTTGTTCAGAAGATATTTCTAAGATGACATCAGTATTCAAGATTTTCTATTATATGCTTTTATGCTTTTTTTTTTTGGTATGTGGTACTGAGGATTAAGTACAGGGCTTCACACATGGCTAGGCAAGTTCTCTGCCAGCTAAGCTGTTTCCCCAGCTCATGTTTATCTTTCAAGCAATCTCAATGCTATTTAATAAAATTATCCATGTACCTAACATATATTTTGCCTGTCAACACCTACCACACCACCACAAGCCTAGTCTCTAGTGGGGTTGGCAATCTTAGACCCTTTATGCTGCCACCAGGACAAACTGATAGCATATAATTTATATAACCATGTTGGAAGGGCTGGAGAGATGGCTCAGCCATTATAGGCTAGACTCACAACCAAAAAAGACTGTTTAAAAGCCATACCTTCACTGGGTAGGTTGTTTTCCTACCCAGTAAAGACAGAGAATGCCAACATGGGGAGACATGGATAGAAAGTTCTGATTACATGGCTGAGGCATTACATGCAATGAGCCATGCCTAAGTCTTAGAACTCCTGGGTTTTTTCATTTTTAATGAAGTCTATCAGTTGAAAGCAAGCACCACAAAATTCTGTTTTCAAAGTCAAACATGTATGTTGCATGTTAAAGCTGGTTAAGACTGAAACGTTACCGCACTGTTAGAACTTCGATTTCCTTATTCACTGTAGTTGTCCAGTGTTTGAAAAACAATTAGGTTAATGAATGACAAATTATTCAACAAGAAATTCAATAAGAAATAAGAAAACAAAACTCAATAAGAAATATTCTGAGGGCACCGGAGAGAGGACTCAAGTGGTCAAGAGCACTGAGCCATTATAAGCTCCGGTTTGAATCTAGGGCCTATTTAACAGATCAGGCACCCTGCAAATGTCGTCACTCCAGCTGCACAGTTAGAACAGACATTTTAATAACAAACCTACAGGTACATTGTCTCACCTCTAATTCAAAGACGCGGACCGGCTGGCTAAGTGAAAAAACAAGGTCCAAGTGTTTTGTTGTCTGCCAAAAAACTCACCTCACTTTCAAAGACATGCACAGGTTGGAAGTAAAAAGATTAAGATTGAAGGTGATATTCCAAACAAATGTAATATAAAAGCAAACAGGAGTAGCTACATCTGACAAGTTAAACTTCAAGCCAAATAAAGAAGGTCACTATATATTTGATAAACTCTAAAGCAAAGTAATTATGAAACAGAATTCTTATTTAGCTTTAAGCAGCTTTTATACCTTTATGGACTACTGAGAGTAAAATGATCTTGAAAGTTATTTCTGTATTACAAGTTGTCTAAAATTAAAACTTCCTCTGTTACAAGGTGGCTTTTGCACAAAAAGTATACACAACACCAGTTTACAGAGAAGAATCTACAGAATTCAAACCAAAACATCAGGTGAGTCCTGTTATCCTAGTCTGGTACCAATTATATTTGATTACTAGGTTTCTCCAATACTACATATGCATGTATATGTATATATATATACGTGTGTGTGTGTGTGTGTATATATATATGAGTATACATAAATGACATATTATATGAATTTCTCAAAAATTTTATTAGAAATGTCTAGCTACCTTTAAAAAAATATTTCCAAGCTTATTTGACCTAATAAATTGCAATCTGAAAATGAAATCTTGGAATATGTGTTTCTGAAAAGCAAAAATAAACAAAGCCCCAAGAGATTGTTAATGTTTCACCTGGTATCTATTAGCATTTGAAAAGCAATTATAATAAATTATAACAATTAAAGTGCTCTTTGAACTGAATTGAAGGGAAATATTAGCCTGGTTATTTCAGATTTTGCATTTTTCCAATCTCACAATGGAGAAGTTGCACCATGAGACTAAATGAGAGGTTCTAAGAATAAGATTTTAGAAGATGAAGCCTGTAATAGCTGAGCTATCACCGAGCATCACTTAGCTGAGCTAAGCCCTCTTCTGCTCTCTGTGGGCAACCATATAAAATACAAAATAAAACTAATTTTTTTTAAAAAAATACATAGACATACTTAATTTTAAAGATTGCTTCCGTGATTGAATACATAAATCTCAGTTTAGTATGGCTATTATCCTGAAATTTCACTGTAAGCCTGTGATTTTGACATTATTCTCCTAACCATATCTGAGTCATAATACTGTATACTCAAAAAAACAAGATTCTACTGTGGCATATTAAGGATTGATTATGGCCTTCATTGTTGATACTCAGACTTAAAGGCAGATGATATATGCCCCTAAGATGATCTTTAAAGAATAATGTCATGGACATTTACTGCATGGGTGCATTTTTTTAAATTCTGAAATTACTGCTAAATGGCAAACATTTTTAGTAGATGAGATTTTGACCACTTACTGTCTATGCAAACATAACTAAATTTAGCCATTAAAAAAATACAAGCGGCTTTCAACTACTTAAAGATTTCACTGTAGACAGAGTGAATAAGGTAAAAGGATAGATCACTCAAACCCAGGCATTCCAAGCCTGCCTGGGCAATACAAGATCTCATCTCAAAATAAGTAGATTAATAAATAAATGAAAGAAAAGTAATTTAAAAGCTAGCAATACCAGTGCCTCACCAGAAAAATTCCGTGTGTGTGTGTGTGTGTGTATAAATAGTGTTAGAATTAGGAATTTAAGATTTTTTCACTAAAAATTTACTTTCATTCAAACTTCAAGTATATTAAAATAAAGTTGATTTTTCTCCCACTATAAAAAAGGTGGGAGGATGAGTCAGTTAACATGCTCTACAAAAACTGACTAGAAAAGTCATAATTTTAAATAAATGCTAAAGAATTTCTTTTCTTTTTTTATACTGCAATTCCAGAAACTCAGCAAGAGAGGTCTTGATCCTTTTCTAAGGAACATAAACAACAAAATGTCATTCAAAAAGAAGAAAGACCAAGACATATACAGATATCCGAGCATTTTTGACACAGAGGTTTTAGAGCATGAAGATCAAGACCCGCCTTACCCAGAGCACTTAAGATCTTCAACATGTAACACAAACTTGGCTGACGATCCCAGCCATGTCACAATCCAGATGGTAAACAAGACAAATAGCTTACTTTCTGTCCCTGCTTCCACCACAGAAATGATTTCAGACAGGAAGAAAAAGTTGTCACATGATTCTACTGTCGGCATAGCTAACACTTCAAATGCAAAGAATATATTTCAAAGTGATAATCCTGTTATCACCATAACAAAGATTTCAGAGACTGATAATAAACTGCCAACTGAGTCTCATTTTACTACAACAAAGCCTTCAGATAAGAGGCTGTGCTGTGACTCTAGCACCAGTACGATAAAGCCTTCAGATACTAAGTTATACAGAAACTTTAATTGCAGTACATCAGATTGGGGGCTGTTCAGTGACGCTGATATCAGCAAGTTGTTCCAAGATCCTAGCAGCAATGCAACACAGCTTTCAGGTCCTAAGAGGCTGTGCCATAATTCCATTATGAGTGGAAACAAACCTCCAGATACTAGTAAGTTCTCCCGTGATTCTAGTATCAGTCCAACCAAGTCTTCAGATCCTAATAAGTTTTCACATAAGCCTAGTACCATTTCAACAAGGTCTCCAAGTCCTAATAAGTTTTCACATAAGCCTAGTACCATTTCAACAAGGTGTCCAAGTCCTAATAAGTTTTCACCTAAGCCTAGTACCATTTCAACAAGGTCTCCAAGTCCTACTAAGTTGTCATATGATTCTAGTACAATTTCAACAGGGTCTTCAAGTCCTAATAAGTTGTCACATGATTCTAGTACCACTTCAACAAGGTCTTCAGATCCTAATAACTTGTCACATGAGTCTTGTATCAATGCAACAAAGTCTTCAGATCCTAATAAGTTGTCACATGAGCCTGGTATCATTGCAACAAAGTCTTTAGATAGTAAGAATAAATATCCAAGTGGTAATTCTAATGACTGTTTACAGCCTACTACCAACACAACAAAAGCTTCAGTTACTAATAAGAAGATAGTACTGGATTCTCACTTCCTCACAGTAGACTGTTCAGGTAGACAGAGCCCATATACAGACAGAGATGAGCAACTATCAAACGTACCTTTACCAAACTTCCAAAGAGAATCAGCAGTGACTAGAAATGTAAGCATGTGTCATTCCTCAACCTCAATAAGTTTTACCTCTGATATGGAAAATTTTAAACAGTCAATAGTACTCAAATCAATTTTAAGCAAAAATCTGCAAGACCTTTCAGATGAGTTATTTTCTAAATCAGAAGTCTGCACAGATGCCAGGGTGATACAGGCAAGCTGCTCCCCAACTCCAAATGTGCACACAAGCCTGTCAAATGGTACAGACAACAGAGAATTTGAAAAAGTCCAAGATATACACAGTTGCCTTTCATCAAAAGACATTCTAAATTCACAGACTCTTTTAAGTCCTGTAATTAAAAGTGTTCCTCAAGATTTACTTCCAGAAGGTGAACCAGGAAAACCTTCAGACACAGAAGATTGTGTTTCTGAAAAACTCTTAGAGACTGCTGAAACAAATTTTCCAAAGCACAGAAAGAGTAGTTTCAAGACAAAACATTTAGTAGGTGAAGTATCTGGCTCCAAACAGAGTTTAACATATGACTATTTCATCAAGCAAATATTCACCGCGCCCATATTCTCCCAGCTGGGGATGGGACCGAAGACCCTGAGCGAGGCGCAGATGGCCTTACAGGGTCAGGCGCTCACACCTTGGGAGAGCAGGATATATTCACAGATTGTTAACTGTGAAGAAAAAGTCAATGACATCCATTTGTCACAGTACAGCTCTGTCATAAGCCAGATAATACAGTTGTTTCCTGTAAACACTCTCCTAGAGTCTGGGATGATCAATGTGACAAAGCTGGGGAAGGCACAGCAGAAACCTCTGTTGGACACGCAGACAGCCTCTCCTCCAGAAGAGCCGCAGAATCCCAGGGAGCAGCACTCTGAGGTCAAATGTCCAACAACAGTTCTTTCCAGACAGAACACGCCGTGCCCCACCCCCGTAGACGGTTCTGTGATTGGAGTGGAATACACAGAAGACCGCCAAAGTATCTCTGTGCAAGAGTCAAAGTGTCCACCCCCAGAGGGAAAGGCAGGCTCCCCCGCACCAACTGACCACCAGAGGCTTGATGCAGAGGAGACTGAGCTAATGTCTGCTTTAGAAAATTTAAGTAACTCACTGGGGAATAGTAAAGACACAAACACAGTAATGTTAAAATCCATCCTAAAAAATATTTTCAAAGTTTGCCTCAAATATAATCAGTCTGATGGAAGACAACAACTAGAAAAAGAGTTAGAAAGATCAACTCAACATTCTTTACCAAGTGGTACAGAACACTTAGGAAAAGTTCAAGAGACTTTTAATAAAGCAGAGAGGGACCCCATTTTGAACCCAAAGCTGTGTTTGTTTCTAGAGAAGCTCTCGGAGTCAGAAGTTAAAAACCTCAAGTCTGAGTTAAGTAAACACATTCAGCATTACCTCTTAGAAAAACTTTCAGAATCAGGCCACATCACCAGGGAGGACTTACCAAAGATCTGCCAGAATCTCTGTCAGATGAATGAGAAAACAAAATTGAAAGAGAAAACAGAATTAAAAGAGCAAGGTCCCTTTCAGGAGACATACTCAGAAACCATAGAAGAAATCATGTCTTTTGTAAATAATTTTAACCATCATTTGGTAGACAAACATTTAGAAATAAAGCTTAAATCTTTTCTAAATGATAGTCTTCAAAATTATTTCCTGAAGAATCTCACAGTGAGCAAGTTATTTAATGAAGGCGATGCCATGGCTCTCTGTCCCGGCGTGGCCTCTCCAAGAAGTGAGGGCTCCTCAAGGCCTTTTCACCAGCTAGGGCAAGAGATTGCAGGTGAGAGTTTTTGTTCAAGGCTTAAAATAGACATTAATTGCCCGTTAAGCAATTCTCTACAAAATTATCTTAAAACCTTATCAGATAGTGAATTATTAAGTCTAAAATCTGATTTGAGCAAATACCTCCAGGGCCTCTTTCTAGAAAAACTTCATAAATCAGGAGTAATGACAGAAAGCCAACAAAAGGGGCTCAACCAGCAAATTAACTCCCTGCCTTCCTCCTCCACCCCATTAAAGTACATAAAAACAAATTTACCTTGTAGAGATGAAAATTACATTATAAGGGAGGATTCAGAAGAGCAAAAGAAATATTCAAAAATTGGTCAAAATACCACTTTACAAACATTTCTTGAAGATAAATGTGGAGAAATGGAACTGACTAGAAAGAGAGAAAAAGGAAGTTGTTTTTCACACAATTTAAAAGAAAATCCACCAGCAATTTGGGAACCGAAAACTATTGGTAACAGGGAAGGTAAAACAGTAAATTTTGTAAAAGTACAACTTTCTCCCAACAAAAATATCCAGGCCAATCCGTTAAATAAGTCACCAGAAAGACCTGCAGACACATCACTTAAGAAACACAAGAAAGAACACGGTTTCACAAATCCTCAAGCAGAAAATTCTGTTTACAAAACAGATATTCAAGATCCATACAATTGGGATGGCAGATCAAAAACAATTCAATCAAAACTTGGCTTTGAAAAGACACTAAAAGTGAAGCCACTTGACAAAAAGGAGAACAATAACACTTATAACTTTATTGTTCAGGAAAAACTTGATACAGGATTTTCACCTCATCTAAAACTCCCTACCTGCAAAGCACCAAGAGAAAACGAATATGGAAGCAGGCTCTCTTTTCCTACCTGGCACACTAACACCTTCACCCATGTCAACACAGAGTGTGGGGAACAATCAAAATTGGACCAGTATTGTCAGAAACTGAAAGGAAACAATAATAACAATAAAAAACACTTGGTTACATTTGCACAGTTCAAAAATGAAATGGAAACTCTTTATAGAAACCCATACGAAGACTGCAATGAAAAATGTGCCAAGATCTCTGACTCACAGTCATTTAAATATAAAGAAAATGAGAGAAACTCAAGGCCATTCTTCTTCCCGGAAGTGTTGAAAAGAGAAAACATGAAATCCAAAAGAAAAGAAAGAGACCATGCCACCAAACCAAAAAAGTCATTTCACAAGATAGTTAGGATCCTACCAGCCACACTACCCACTGCAAGACCTCATCTGCGGAAGTCTGTGCCAAGGACTTTACTCCAATGGACTGCCAGGAGAACTGTACATGTAATAATGCTTTTTCCTAAGTATTTTCTTCTGTAGCTGGCAGTTTTGTAAATAATTTGCTTTAGAATATGTATGCCTTCTGAATGTAGGTGGTGTGTGTGTGTGTGTGTGTGTGTGTGTGTGTGTGTGTGTGTGACTTTAATAGTCCCAGGGTATACACATTTCCATTTAACACTAATGAAATTCAAGCATCTCCTCAACTGATTCAAAATGCAATTACAAAACCAGACTGACTTTTATGAAGTAGGAAAAGGATACCTTGTTGGGACATAACTTAGAAAAGGATGTTCTTTTCTCTAGGAAAGCCCTCTAGGCTGACAGATCTGAAGCCTAGGCACACATCCCTTGTCTTTGGCAGCCTGGCTGGCTGACTACCCTGACTGAAAGTAGCCTAGGATTCTGTGCAGTATAGTCTGCACAGCCATGAGTGGTGGCCATATACCATGGAAATGGAAATGAGATTTTCTTCTGTCAGAGATAGAGTTGTATACAGGGCTTTTTTTTGTTTGGTTTTGTTTTAGAAATCTGGATTATCTCAGTAAATAAACATGAAACATTTACTTATTCTGTCAGTATATAGATATAGATATATGTGTGTGTATATATACATATGTATAAATACATATATGTGTATATGTACTTATATGTGAATATCTATCTATATCTATATATTCACATTATATGCTATTGGATTATGCATTGAAAAATCTAAATTTAATGTCTACTTGTTTGGTCTTTTACCCTTTTGCTTTATCACACTTTTGAGATCTTAAATATTAAACTCCAGGTTTTTAAATAAGCACTTTGAAACTCTCATAGTGTTTGGATCACATTCACTTCCTTTCCTACCTCCTCCCAGATCCAGCTTTCTTCCTTACCTACCCAAGCTATGTCCTTTTCTCCCCCACCCACCAAGTCCAATTTGTACTGCCCATACACCTCGGATGTGTCCAGTGTGGGTGTGGAGTGTGGTCGGCTTGCTAGGGGCTACATTCTTAGAGGGAACTAACTCTCCCGGCCCTTGCGGCTATCAGCTGCCAGGATCTCCTTCTCTGTGGGCGGGACTTCCCCCCCCTCCCCTCTCAAGGCTGGGAATTTTGTCTGCTTTGACCTCACACAAGCTGTCCCAACCACTGTGCTTTCATATGTGCACCTGTCCTTTGTGTCTTGAGGGCATGTTGTCTCTGTATTCATTCATCGCCTCTGGCTCTCGGTCTTTCTCCCCCCCTCTTCTGAACCTGGAGAAGACAGGATGTAGTACAGAAGTTTCATTCAGGGCTGATCATTCCACAGTTTCTTCTTTGCACTTTGGCCAGTTGTGGCTCTCGGTGTTAATCACCACCTACACTGAACAGAATCTTCTCTGATGAGAACTAATCCATGGCTACAACAATAACTGTCTAATAATAGGTTCTTAGCCTGACCAGGGTGCCAAGTATAGGTTTTATCTGCTGAGGGAGATTTAAATCTAAACATAAAGTGGTTGGCTACTCCCATAATGCTCATGCTGCTACCTTACACCAGTGAGCATGCTTTGCTAGGCTAGATGCTTTTAGCTTCTGAAGTTCACAGCTGTTCAAGACTGATGATTAGTTTTTTTCTTCCAGTACCATTTATAGTATCTTCCAGCACTAGGAAACCTAGATAATAGGGACGGAGCTTCCAGGTCAGTACCAGCTTGTTACCTCCCTGTTCTGTGACTCATGTATGTGCTATCTTTAGCAATATGGTCTTATCATCAAATTCTGGAGGGTAATCAATAGTGTTGGCAATAATCTCTAATGTGTGATTTTTCTTCACGTTGTGTGAAGGTGTGTGTCTGTATTTTCAATTGTTAATTCTATACTGGTCAGAGAGCTAGGTGCTGACAGGATTTTGGTATTGTCATTTCTACTGCCCATCCCCGGCTTTATATTTGTTAATACTTGTCCTTCAACACCTGCTCAGATACTTGAAAGTCAGACACCCTCTGACCTTCAAGTATATGCCTAGAGGCAATCTAAGATATGTGTCAGGTGTTGTCTTGCTGCAGATTGGTTGTAATAAAGAGCTGAGGCCAGTATCTAGGGCAGAAAGTAGGAGGGCAGAGCGGAACTTCCGGGCAGAGACAGGGATGCTGAAGACAGAGGAGGACCCAGAAGGTAATGGACACAGAACGGAGTGTAATATGGCTAGCCACGTGGTGACTCGTAATGTTAGTTTAGACAGTAGATGGGAAACTATCCCAGCAAAAGACCTAAACTTTAAACTCTATTACAAGTCTCATTGTTAGTATTTAAACGTCTGTCGGGTCTGAGAAAGTCCTGTATTACACTGGTAAATCACTCCAAAAGTAGTAACTCATTCTGGCAGTAGGCTTTTGTTAACCTATGGCATCTAGTTGGGACACTGTTATCCCACTATAGGTCCCACCATAGGGTAAATCCATTACACCACACACACACACACACACAGACACACACAGACACACACAGACACACACAGACACAGACACAGACACACACACTTCTAAAGTAACAGAAAGGTCTCTAAGGATCTTCTCAGATCCCTCCTCTCCCTATCTCTAACCCCCTTACCCCATCTAACCCTCCCTGTTCCATGGTCAGGATGTTAAGCTGGTTATTAAGTCTTATGTGTACATTCTAAAGCAAGAAAATCTAGAAACAGAAGGCATTTCCTTTTGGCTCTTTTTGGATCGTGGCTCTTCTCCATTAATTTGTACAATGGGCACGATTCATAATTTGGAAAACTATTAGGATCTAGAATTGATCTTAAATCAATAACTTGATGTGCATGAAACTGCCTTTAAATGGAAAAATAACTCTAATTTCAGAATAGGTACTTTGAGACTGTTTCATACAGTAAACTATTAACTTAATAGTGGCAGGACAAACCGTTCTCTATGACATGTAATAGAAGTATCCTAACAGTTGTGTAGTAGTAGGAGAATTTATATTCTTAACTTTAGATTTTACCATCTAAATAGTTAGTATTGAGCTAGAAAGTGTGTGTGTGTGTGTGTGTGTGTGTGTACACAAGCATGCATATATTAAGAGGAAAACAGATTTAGTTTGTTTCTGAAGAACTACCTTTTAGACATTATTTTCCAAATGAAGAAACTGTGTTCATGTGAAAGCATGTATGCTCTCATAACCCTTTGTGCGTGCATGTATGTGTGTGTGAATGTACTTATGTATGCAGGTACATGTGCACATACGGTGGAAGCCAGGGAGCCCTGAATGTCACTCCTCCCTGCTATCCGCATTTTTGCTTTGTTTTGAACCAGGGTCTCTCGTTGGTCTGGAGCTGGAGAACTAGAATTGGTTGGCTGGCTGACTAGGAAGCTGCAGGGATCCTCTTACCTGCCCACCCAGGCCTGGGACTCCAAGTGCTTACTAGCATGCCCAGGAGGATAGGTGATGGTTATTTTCCTATGTGAGGACTAAGCATCCCTAACCCCTTTTCTCTGACCGATAACAGAGAATTGAATGGCATCGAAGCTTTTGTCAAATGATCACAAAGATGTCCTTTTATTTTCTGAAATCTAATCATTTCTAACATGAATCAATCAGAATAGAGAAAAGTTGTGTTGTTGGGACCCGACCCTAGAGGTCTGCTCCTTAAATTTGTTTGGCTTTCAGCTTCATATTTTCCTACTCCTTTTGAAGCAGCAAACCTTTTATAAAATCTCAGAATAGGAGATACTTCTTTTGAATCAGTGGTGTGTAGCTCTCACGTCCTTCCACTGACACCCTGGCTATCAGCTGTGAAGTTAAAGTTGTTAGTAATTATTAATGCAGCAGAAACCCTCATGATACTGGGCTTGTTCCACCTCCATCAGAGGAAAAAGAATCTCTGGGCATGGTAGCATGCACCATGAACTCCACAGACCACACCATCTCAAGTTTTAGCCCAGCCTAGGTTACACACTGAGCTCCGAGCCAGTGGGATCCAGGCTAAGTGTGGGCCAGAGTGTAAGATCCAGTCCACAAAAAAAGGTAAAAGAGGAAGAGTGTCTTCCTGTCATCTCCAACCAGGCAAACACTCACGTATGTAGGACTGGTTTTTAGGCTCCCAGAGTAAACGTTTTTGTGGAAATCTCTCTGGTTGGCCAAATTCTTACTAGTCCTGTCTAACCATCGTGACCCCACAATTCAATTAGTTAGCTCCTACCTCATCTCTCATCAAAGCAGCCCTCCCTGTGGGTGGCTGTCATAAACCCCACCCCAAATAGTTGTGAATAAACTAGCTTATACAACCGTATGGCTAATAGCTCCATACCCTTTGAGGGGTACATATAGATCTTCATATTCTTATTTTAAAATATAGCCATAAATTCTGTAAACAAAAAAAACTGTTAATTTTTCTCTCTTGTTATTTTGGTGTTCTTGAACTCATGGTAATTCTCCTTCCTCCAACCTCTGAGTGAGGGGACTACACTTGGCAAGTTGTTTTTAATGTAAAAATTATAATAATCAAGCTGGGTGTGGTGATATACACTTAGAACTCTAGCAATCCGAAGACTAAGGCTGGAAGGTTTGAGAGTAAGGGGCCCCCTCGGACTATGTAGTGAGATCCAATCCCACGTACACATTACACTCATGTTCTTGAATGTTATGCTGTGTCTATGCATATACACTAACAAAGATGGTTGTTAGATTAGCTGGGTGAGACTGATCAGCAAGGGCTTAGATGATAGAAAAGTAAAATATCAAAGTTGATTATTTATATTTGAGGTCATAGGAAAGATATTTTTGAATAGGAGAACTATAGACTAGGCTGGCCAGCTTTCTTAGTCTGACCCCAGAGGACAGCTCTGTAAGTGTGTCTGGGTTTCAGTTTCACATCTTTCACCCTTTTGAAGCAGCAAGTCCTCTAAAAAGGTAGGTTTTTTGTTTTTGTTTAGTTGAAAAGAAAAGAAAAGATTTCTAAAGGAGTGTCCTATGGGAAACACAGGGTATGCAGCATGGACTGGGGACTGCCTACAAAATATTAGCGCACTCATTTCTTAACTGTTGATACTACCAACATTAGTTCTTATAATGTTGCAATGTGTTTTTAAGACACCTAACCTTCCTATTTGATGTTTTGTTTCAATATTTAGGATTGTTTGGATAAATGCGAAGACTTACACATACCCTCAGTTAAATGTCCTAAAACCTCAAAATCAAAAGCACGACTTTTAGGCAAGAGTCCAGATGACCCCCATAATCAGGCAAAACACTGCGACCGACCGTACACTGCTCCAGAGCCTAACAAGCGACGAGAGACTGTGGCCGGGAAAATCGCAAGTCTTCGGATGGTTTCAGCGGGCTTAGTTCAGTTACACACCACCCCAGAGCATGAGCTACATAAAACTCGGTTCAAAAGAAAATTAAAAGAGGATATTGAAAAAAGTTCGTTCATTTGTGATATTATCCAGATGCTAAACACTGAAGAATGATTTGTGAGGCCACCAGTCAGAATATAATTTCTCCACTAACAAAATGGTTTGGGAGATCTATCCTTGTGTGTGATAGAAGTCAGCAACTAAATTTCATCTTGTTAGACCATTTTGTTATGATTAAAATGAAAAATAACACATTCTATGTAAACGTGTTTTTTTTTTATAAACTTCCAGAACAGACTAAAAAAAAAAAAAAAAAAAAAAAAAGTATATTCACTTGGCATTCATTAGTAAAATTTTTTACCCCAGCTTTCCTCTTTTGGGATAAGCTAATCTTTAGCTTCTCCAGCATTTGGGGTATTTGGTTATTCCTGCCCCAGCTTCCCAGGTCTCCATCTGCAGTGGACTGTTCTTAGCAACGACGCTTTACTTAGCTCTAGTTAAATTTCTAGATCCAAAGTCTACACATCTTGTGTTCATTTCAATGTTATCTAATGATCTTTCAGGAAGAAAGAATGCAGGGGTTTATTTTACTGAGTGATGGATACAGGCTAAGAATCCAATGAAACAGTGAAAAAAGCCCAAAGCTAAAACAAAAAGTGCTCCCACTATTCAGAATGGAAGTGCTGATATCAGCCTCCAGAAAGCCAAGAAACAGCTGCTGCCAGGAGTATCCGGTCAGCTGTGAGAACTGCCTCCCACACCACTCAAAATAAAACAACCAGAGATTCTAGCTGTTTCTGCCCTGGATGCCAGAGGAACAAGGTATGCATAAGAAATAATGTGGTTCCAGTGAGGCAGAGGAGAGTGAAGAAATGACTTGAGAGGATCAGTGGTAAAGAGGAAACCATGGTCTGGCCTTAGCAAAGATGTATTTCCTAAGAAGGAAATCTCAAATTCCTGTGTCCCACTAACAGTTTTTGACATTGCCACTTGCAAACAGTATTCCTAAAACATTTCACCATGGATATCTCTGAAGTTTTCCATACAGCAAAAATGCTAACATTCCCCTGGTAATACCCTCTTCCTGACATTAAGCAGGGAGTCAGCTTTTCAGAGCCACTGGACTCAAACTCAACATTGTCTTGCCCTAGATCTTAAGCCTGACAGCTTTTGGTCCAGAACCTCACTGTCAGCTCATACGGCAGACCTTGAGGCTTGTAAGCCTCCATAATTTCATGAGCCAATTCTTTAAGTGTACATATGTATACATATTACCTTGTAAACAACATATGTACACACATATTCTAATTTACAGTGGCGGTTCTGACAGGCAACATTTCATGACAAACCCCATCTGCCTTCAGCATTTTTCTCCAGCAGAACTTCCCAGCTTGGGAGTTGCTAAGGCATTGAGTGGGATGAACTCCAACTTACACTAAGACAACTGCTTTCAGCCCTGTCCTCGCTCTCCTACACTGCCCACTCTTAATTTCTCTCACCTTCATTTTCCACCTTGGCAGGTCTTGTTGGCTGTATTGATAGAGAAGCCCTAACATTCATTCTTGAGGCAAGGGTATAGCCATCAAACAAACAGAATTGCTTCAAACTGCCTAGTCTTAATCATTTTATAGTAACTTCCAATGTAATATAGTCATATAGTTTAAGAAAACCATCTGATCCCAATTTATTACAACTTCAACTACAACCTATTTTTGAGACTGTGCTAGTTGGGATAAAGAATGTGTCCTGTAGGCTCATGTATCTCAATGCCTAGTTGGCTTTGTTGATCACCCAGCTGGCAAGACTCTCTAGGGGGGGTGTAAAAATTAACTTTTATTCTCCTGCCTCAACTGTTATTTCAGAGGTTTACTGCCTCCATCTGCAAGCCTAGGGCTAGTGCTGGAAGATTCTAGCCTCCATACAATATAACCTAGGCCTAGAATGTTTTCAGCCTTTGAGACTTACTGCTGAATAGGCACACTCTTTCTTGTTCTTACTGAGCTCTGGGCTGGCTGGTTCAACTCAGCTGTCTGGCTCAAACTCCTCTCCCAGCTGACTTAATCAATCTGATTTCTCTCGGCCTCTGAATTACTATGCTTGGCCTCAAACTATCTCCAGCAATCTGCTCTACACTTCCGGCTCTTTCTCATTCTGTCTTCATCTGTGTCTAGTGTGTTCTCTCTTCAATCTCTCTCTGTAAAACTCTCCAGTAAACATGCCTCCTTGCCCTCTCATTCTGTGTTGCTCCTTAAGTAGCTTCCTTTTCCTCTCTCTTCTCTTGAGTTAGGTGTATCCTATTCTGTCAAATCTTCCTCTGATTTGTCATTTTTTTCTGCCACTCAATTAAACATCACTTCCAAACAGGGTTACTTCCTTCTGCAAACTAACTTTACCTCCATTCTTTGGGATTAAAGGCGTGTACCACCAGGCCTAGACCTAAGCTTTTCCTTCCCAGAAACTTGCTCTATACCAGGCTGGCCTTGAACTCAGATCTGCTTGCCTCTATCTCCTATTCTAGCCAGATCACACAGACCTAGAAGGTCTTTGGATGTGATCTCTTGCCAGAGCAGCCACATTCTAAATGAGCATTCCTCTAGAGGGAGGACATGAACTTTTAGAATTCTGAGCCTTGCTGGAGGAAGTGTGAACAACCGAGGATGTTCCGAGAGTCCAGAGTCTTGCCCCACTTCCAGTTCACCCTCTCTGCTTCCTGCGCATGTAGCTCAGATGTCGTCTCTTAGCTTTCCGCTCCTCTGCCATTCCTTCCCTGTCATTACGTAACTAGCCCACTGCAGCTCTTCCTTAAGTTACTTTGATCAGGGTATTTTTTCACAGCAACAACACAGTAACTAGTACACACATCTCCTGCTAAGGACGCAATATCATGAGCAACTGTGTGGTCGACAGGTTTCCACACTACAGGAACAATCACATAAAAGGCTGGAATGCCACTTGTCAAGATTGCTTGCAATCTACTAGGTTATGTAAATTACATTTTAAAAAAGAGCTTCTCTTAGCAAAAACAAATTAGAACCTGTGTTCTAGCTTTGTTAAGCCACACAAAATAAATAAAAGATAGGTTCAATGTAGTAAATCTTTATTGAGCTCCCACAGGGTGCATGAATTAAGGATCCGTAATTTACACAGGTAGAAAAGTGTTACATTAGCCCCCTCCCTTTTAAAATGCAAACTGCATCTTCTCTTTATAGTTCAAGTTAATTATTTAATGTGAGCAAGGCTCAGTTTGATGTCACCATATATGAAAGGAATACGACAAACATTTTTCCTTCTCCAAATAAAAAGGGCTTTGTGCCAGAATACACCAGCCTGTTCATCTAACAACAGCTGATCAAAAAGGCTGGAGAGTCTGGAAGAGAAGATGTTCCTGAAAGCATTGTGCTCTGAGGAGGGCTCATTCCCCAGAGGACAGCAACATGGAGAAGAAGATTAACTGGCTCAGAAATTACACTGAGATCCAGAAAGTACCAGTCACAGCTTGGAAAGGTGGGGTGGGTGGTAGGAGAGGTGACACTAACCAGCTAGACTGCAACTGTGACACTGCGGTTGTGAAGGTGCTGAGCTAAGCACGGGGTAATCCAGGCCCCACAAACAGAGCGCTTTTACCTCGTCAATTCTCCAGTGCACCAACTGTATTTTCAAGTATAGATCTGGCATTTGTACCGAACAATACAGAAGAGAAGCAGCAAGGAGAAGCTGTCAAGTATGGAGGACATAAAATGATTTCCAACCCTAGAACTGCCAGTCTGGGTCTCTGTCATCAGGAAACTCGCATTCCAGCTCACTCCATGGCGACACTGGCGGCAGTGCCACTGATGGCCTGTTATAAGCAGGCGGCAGCAGTGAGAGTATAGAGTCCTGGCTTTCTTCTTTCATCTGTTAAAAAAGCTTAAAACAGTCATGTGGGCACACAGACTCAACACTTTTTTGTTGTTGTTTTTTTCAAGACAGGGTTTCTCTGTGTCGCCTTGGCTGTCCTGGAACTCACTCTGTAGACCAGGCTGGCCTCGAACTCACAGAGATACGCCTGCCCCTGCCTTCTCAAGTGCTGGGATTACAAGCCTGTACCACAGTGCCCAGTTAGACTCAACACTTTTTATTAGCAATAAATAACTTTTAAAGAAATAAAACTTTAAAATTATTTTTTGGTCTTTTTCCTATAAATGCTTCTAATTCTTATAAATCTTATAATTTTTCATCATAATTATTCTTCCCCATCATTATTTCTAGGTTGGACAGACACCAGTTTTTAAGTTGATAAAAATACAGAGCGTGTTAGAAAATATGCTGCTTTTACTCATCTGGTTTTGAAGAATAAAAATCTTTTAAATATTCCATAATAAGGGCCATCAGATGGCTCAGCAGGCACAGGTGCTGAAGGCATTTGCCCCTATACCTGAAGACCTGAGGCCCACCCCTGGGATCACAATGTAGAGTGAGAGAAGAGAGAAGGCCTCCTGAAAGCTCTTCTCTGACCCTGACACATGCATGAACATACATCCATGTACACACACACACACAGTATAAAATTAAACTACTAAAAATGTGTTCTTGCTTTAATTTTATAGGAAAGTTATTAGTAAAATTCTTGGTAACCTGTGTCCTATGAAATCAACTAACTAAAGGCTTTTGAAAACAATATTTTAAATTATTTAAAACAATGAACAATGGACCAGCTCACCTGCTTGAAGAATACATGGGACAACAAACTGCTTGCTGATGGCCTGAAATTTTTGAAAAAGTTATTAGAAAATAAAGCCTAATATCAGAATGTACATTTTTAGGTATATAATTACATTAGAAATGAGGTTTGGAAGCTGGGCTCAGTGGTGCACGCCTGTAATCCCAGCACTCAGGGAGGCAGAGGCAGGCGGATAGCTATGAGTTTGAATCCAGCACAGCCAAGGCTATACAAAGAAACCCTGTGTTAAAAAAAAAGAAAAAAACAAAATCAAAAACAAAAAAACAATAAAAAAAGAAAAAAAATGAGGTTCAGAACTATAAAAAAATATTTAGAAAAAAGAACATAGATTAGAAGCAATACTTAGCAACAGCCTTGACTGATAGGAAGAAATACTTCTGGAAATACCCTTACATTTAATCCCTACTCAGCTGGACGTTGATGGTACATGCCTTTAATCTCAGCACTTGGTAGCCAGAGGCAGGCAGATCTCTGTGAGTTCCTGGACAGCCTGGTCTACAGAGTGAGTTCCAGGGCAGCCAGGGCTACACAGAGAAACAGCGTCTTGCAAACCATCCCCAAATCACCAAAAAATCATACTTAACTTTTATTGTGCACATACTATTTATAAGGAACAATGGCAGGATGAAAGAACTTTAAAGAAGGTTAGATTCTATATCTTCTTTCTAAAATGCTAATGCTAGCATATCATTATTTATACTACTAGTATATACAGTAAACAATATATAGTATATCTAGCATATACTACATATATAATGGTATATAGTATATATATGTCTATACTATATACTAGGATTATGATTTGCTAGCATTAGCATTATATATAGATATATACTATAGATATATATACATATATAATGGTATATAGTATATATATGTCTATACTATATACTAGGATTATGATTTGCTAGCATTAGCATTATATATAGATATATACTATAGATATATATACCACATATACATACATATACTATATACTTATAGTATATACATATATACTATATATACCTTTAGTATATACCTATATACTAGTATATATAGTATACATGCTATATATATTTTTAATATATATACATATACATACATACATATATATATATATATATTCAGTATAATAGCAGCAAAATCATTTTATATGGCTTAGAAGATTCTAAAGGTGCCTTAACAGACTAAGAATTGATTTGTATGAGGTGGCTTGGCTGGATTCCGTATGACTGAGAAAGGAGCCCAACTCTTCTTATTTTGAACCCGGAGTTCTTCATACTTGCTAATCACTTTGACTTGTTCTTAGCATTGATAGTCTCCAGATTAAGTGTTTGATCAAAAGACGTGAATTTATGAAAAGGGTAATATCACAAAACTGCTCTAAGAAATAAAACACATATGTTTTGTGCTATTTAGAGGTGACCAATACCTTTTCTCAGGATCTTGCTGCAAACACAGCTGCACCAAGCTAAGAAAGGCAGGAGAGAAGGTTTTTGTGGAGGGCGTGTGGAGCCGGTCACTATGGACGGTGTGAGTTCCAGTGGAGACGAGCACACTCTCTCCAATCCCAGAGTCCACTCCTGACTGGGAGTTTCTCAGTCTAGAGTCTGACTGCGGAAGAATGCTGGCATCCAGCGGACTATAGGGAGGACCTTTTAGTTTCTGTAATAGCATCTGGGGGAAAGGAAAAACATTTACAGGTAAAACACTGAGGCAAAAATGAGAGCAAAACTCTAGAGTCTAGAGCAAACATATTCACTGGAAGTTATGTAGACCTAAGAAAGCTATCAACATTAAGTTCAGGGAGTTCAGGAGCATTACCTGAGTCCTATGCATGTCCTGGAAAGGTACCTGCCCACTGGCTAATTCACATGCTGTGATCCCAACACTGTAAATATCTGACTTCACATTATATCCATGCAAGTCCTGAAAACACAATTTGAAGGCCTTAGTACAAATAACCAAGAACGGCATAAAGGCGTCCTCTCGACAGCGGATGGTGAACAATGGAAAGCCCCGGAGCACAGAATCAACATGTCCCCAATAGATGCCTTCACAATTAAAAATTCCTAACACAGTTTTGACAAGAGAAAAGGTCTTGTGGCAGCCATTCACAGAAAAACGGGGACACAACTGTCCTTTAGTCAAACTCAAAGACATTTGAGACGCACAGACAACCCAATGCAATAGCCACACCTGACCTGTCTCAGCAGTTCTGGACTCAGCCACGGCTGCACTGAAGTGCTGAACTGTGGGAAATCAAACACAGCCCTATGCCTCTGTCCGTGCTTAACCAAACTATGCAGATGGGACAGGCCAGAGAGGGTCACCAGGCCATCACCAGAAATGAGGATATGGCTGGCTTTAAAACTCCTAGAATAAAAAGAAACAATCCTAAGTACTAGGAATGTGGCCGATGAAGAGTGAATAAAACCTGGTGAGAACACACTCGTACACTCCCTTGGAGAGTAAACGCCCTTATCAAACAGCCCTGTACAGTTTGCACTGTGCATGACATCTTCAAGGAGTCAGGGAACCCCTCAGGTACTTAATATAGTACCAGAACAGGGGAGAAGTCACAAGGATACATGTTTGGAATTGTTAGAATTCTTTAAGAAATGAGATCAAATTATTAATTTTGCTATTTTAGGATGCACTGAAACATACCATTATTATTTAAGGTTAAATGCAATACAATAGAGGCCTCTGTTGAATAACATCATTTATAAAGATATGTCTGTCATATTAAGGTTCCTCTAACTGTCCTATAAATTATGTAAGAGCCTTAATTTTCCATCTAAAACACTAAATTTGGACACTAACAGAGTAGGACAGCCAATAATCTGGTGAGGCAAAGAAAACAATTTGGATATAGTCAGTTTGGAACCCTCAGTGAGAAAGCTGCTGGAAAACAAGCAGCCCAGCACCAAGTGCTAAGGAGATGAAAACATCAGCAAGTCTACTCAAAGTTTAACTATGGAAACACAAGTTCAGAAGACCACAGGAGAACTGGTATTCAGTGTGGCGCTCTGCATGGCTGAAGACCACTCAGAAAAGAAAAGGACTGTTGTACCTCACACAAGACAGAAACATGATGTAAGCTGGAAAGCAGGTAAAGAAGCTCTACTTTCCTAAAAAGAACAAATCCTAGCTGATACCCTGGCCATGTGAGGCCTCCTGCCTACCCTCCCAGTGAGACATGCACTTTGTAAGTGCAACACCAGCAAGCATACTGTTCACACTTCTAGTGAACAGGCACAATGGCAGGCACCATTGTTATCTACTGGCCCCTTCGATTTTCATTGATAAATTGCTTATTCCTCCTTCTCAACACTTAACTGTTCTTTACTAAAGTCTCCTCCCTGAATGACTTCTTTTAAAATTCTTTCCTTTGTGTAGAATGTAAAAAATCAAATACCTATGGATACAGCCATTCTGGTGCAGGTAGTTCAACCCTCGTACTGCTCCGAAGAGAATGTTTCTTATTAACGTTTCACTCATTCCATCAGGAAAGTAGGTCCTCAGGAGCTGACTTGCTGAACCTGAAAGAAAGCCCTGACATATTCAGATGAACACTTAAAGTGATTTTACTTTTTACTATGCTTTAAACATTCTTTTCAATCATAAGGAGACAAACACATCTGTTACTCGAGTCTGGCCATTTTCCCAAGCAAATTTCCTTCAAGAATCACCATCACCAACACTACCACCACCATCAACCACCACCAGCACCACCAGCACCATCAACATCCTCACCACCATCATCACCACCATAATGTGGTACTGAGGCTTGAACCTAGAACTTCACACATGCTAGGTAATAATACTGCTACTGTGCTATATATCCCCAGCCCTCTTCCATTTTTTAATTTTAAGGTAGGATCTCATTTGAGTTGCTGAGGTTGGCCTTGAACTTATTCTGCAGCTCAAGCAGGTCTTGACTCGTGATCCTCCTGTCACAGCTTCCCAAGCAATTTATAGCTCTATGTGCCACTAGATCTGGCTAGAAATCTTTAATCCTAATCCTTAATTCTCCCTTCCCATTCCCTCTTGCTTTTCTTTGGAGAAAGTTATTTCTTTGGAGAAATAACTCAGGGGCAGAACATTTGCCTACCTGGCTCAAAGCTCCAGATTTCAACCATAGTCATAGTCATACCACACACACACACACACACACACACACACACACACACACACACACACACACACACAGTTTTTTTAGTTACTTTTTAAACCGTAAAAGAATGTTTTTCAGTATTTCTGAATGAATGTCATATTTTAAATTTAGAAGTTATTCACTAGAGCCGTTCTAAAGAGCAAAGCTCTAGAATCCACTCACTTATTTATTCAGCGCACTTATTGAGCAATGTGCTGTGCTCAAAAAAATAAAGCATAAATGATTACCTCCATTAAGAAGCACAGTAAGGGAGCTGGGCACACACACGGACACTTACAATTCAGTGACATCACTTTATAGCACAGTGAAACAGAGGCAAAGGCAGTGCACTTATGTGCACGAATGGTTTTTACTTGCAAAACAATAGTTATTGTCTATTACGAGAGAGAAGGAAGCTGAAGGGGAGCCCAGTGTGTGCCAAGGCATACAACTTTTAGAATTACTGGTGGTTTCATGGATCATCATATCTATTCTAGTCTAAAACTAAAACTAAAACAAACAGAAATATATGAAGCAGAAATATACCATGAAATCTAAAATTGGCCACTAAATTTATAAATTAAAAGTAGTTAATGACAGATCTCACTCGTTTTTACAATGATAGCATCTAGGTTAAACAATCAGTTATTTTTCTTAAAACGATTTTCTTACCGTAGGCCATAAATGGAGAAATAACCCAAAGCCAGCTGCCAACAGTGAAAACTGTCCAATAAGTTGTAATATTGGGGTGTTGGAAAAAGTGAGATAGAATCACTGCTCTCTAGGAGAAATGTACAAGAGAAAAGACATTTAAAAGTCCCCTTTATCTTTCATCATAGCAGTGGCTGTGGTAAATACTCAAGGGAGTACGTGAGCTTTTGCTTCTAAACTTCATACGTGCTCCAGAAAATACATGGCACTGATCTGTGTTTTATAAGGTACTTTTAAAATGTCAGAGACCCTGTCCAGAAGCACATAGTGAAAGAGCGTGACTCAGTCTGCCTCCAAGAAGAATATATTTAAATACTCTTAGTTTTTGTTGCAGCAATGTTTAAAAACATAAAAATGGGGACAGGAGCTGGAGAGATGGCTCAGAGGTTAAGCACTGGCTGTATTTCCTTCCAAAGGTCCTGAGTTCAATTTACAGCAACCACATGGTTCTGAGCCATGGTGGCTCACAACCATCTATAATGAGATCTGGTGCCCTCTTCTGGCATGCAGGCAGTATAGAAATACTGTATAAATAATAAAATATTAAAAAAAAAAAAAAAACGGGGACAGGAGAAATCATTGATAATACCATATCATGGAGAGAACCACTGTAACTATTCTGACATAGTTTTTCCTATTTTTTTTTCTATGCTGTTTATGTCCATCTATCTACCTATCTGCCTACATATCTCCACATTAAGTGTTTTAAAAATATGTTTACATTTATTTATTTATTTATCAGGGAGGTGCATGTACATGACATTGGTGGGAGCCAGATTGGAGGAATCAGTCTTCTCTTTCCATCAAGTGGGCTCCAGGGATCAAACTCAGATCATGAGGTTTGGAATAAGCACCTTCATTTGCTGAGCCATCTCCTCAAACTCATACCAATATTTTAAAATTTGAGACAACACTAAAATAATAAATTCCCTGTTTGTATAAATTATAATATAAACAAAAAATAATTTTATATGCCTGAAATATAATCCTATTAAAATTTATCAATTCTGAGGTTAATTTTGCTTATATGATAGAAAAGCAGCCTCTTTTTTTTTCCTGTTTCTCTGGTTGTCACTAGATTGAGGGTGTTTCCAGTCTACAATGTAGCACTGAAATATGCCATTCACTTGAAGAATTCATATCACAGTATTTACCGGAGTTTGAATATATTTGATTTATCAGCTAATGCATCTCACTTCCATGTATTTTTCCCAGTCTGGTGACTATATGATTTAGTTAAATTTCTAACAGACCCTCCTCAAATAGACATCACAGCCAACACTTCCTTCCTTTCCGTCATTACCTGTAAGGCTTTCAGCCGTTCTTCCGTGCAGTTTTCCAGGTCTGTAATTTTTATAGTCACCAGAGTTCCTGTAGGAGTGTGTCGTGCGAGGTGAACAGAGGTCAGGTTGTCAAACCCTCTTCCTACAACCACATGTAAAACCCATGGTAACAATCAAAGCAGAAACAAAGTCAACACTGTATACATCAGCACAACTTAAAACTCCCTGTCTTTCAAAACCACTAAGAAGATGAAAGACTCCAGCCTCCTCTGTTCCATAGTGACAGCCCAGAGCTCAAACGCTAGATTCTCCAACATCCCCACCCAGGCCATTCCCAGCTACCCAAGAGAAAGGTCATTATCACCAGCCAGGGTGGGTCCACACGCTGCTCAGGAAGGCGGGGCCTTCCAAACCTGGGAGATGCAGCCTGGCTATCAGCAGTTTTCAATGGTACAAAGCCCAAGTCTCAGTCCTCATGTCTCAAATTGTCTATTATGGGAATTTTGCCCACATGCTCTATATATGTGCACCTTGTGTGTGCCTCCGTACCATGGATCCCCTGGAACTGGAATTACAGGCAGTTGTGAGCTGCCATGTGGGTGCTGGGTATTGAACCTGGGTTCTAGCTTTAGGAAAAGCCAGTGCTCTTAGCTGCTGAGCCATCTCTCCAGCCCCTTTTTAAAATAACATTTTTATTAATTTTGAGAAATTCTTATATATATCTTGGTCATATTTAGCCCTCCAACTCTTATGTCCACCCTCAGAAGGAGATTAACCTTTCTTTTCTTTACATCACTCTTAGTTTCCTGTCCACTCAACCTTGAGTTCTCTCCTTGACTTTCTAGTCATCCATCTTAAGGAAATGTCTTTGAAGGAACTAGAAGTTATATAGCTTATCGGACAGATTTTGCATAAAGGGTCATATGCCGTGTGTTCTCAGGTCTCATATTTTCCTTCTACTGCTGTGGACCTGCTCGGCCTCGCTGTCTCAAAGGTGGTCACGTAGCAGGCAATGGAAAGGCGCTCTGTGAACTCATGAAGACACCTCCACCCCCAACACAGACACTCGGAGTGACGGCCACATCATGACGCCTGTTGAACCTGAATGAAGGTTTGTGTGTCAAACAGTAAGTACTCACTATGTTCAGACTCCACTCACTGGCTTTTTTGTTCACTCTTATTTATCGATCCACTTTCTTTTCTCATTATTGAAGTTTTACTAGGGTACTGAAGTTTTGTTGTTTTTTTTTAAATCAGGAGTGTACATTTATTTACCAATATACAAAAAATGCCATGAGGCCTGGCGAGGGACAATGAGGACAGGGCCCTCTCCCCACAGCATTACTTCACTGCACAGCTAGACTGCCTACTGCTGAACAGCCCTGTGTGTCCGCTACAGAGCGCTGGCTTTAGGGGTGTCACAGACTAAAGGCCTCCTTTCTCTCTCAGACTCTGCTGTGCTGAATAGTAAGCAGCCCAAGAATCTATGGACAATTGTCTTTTTTTAAGATTTATTTATTTTTATGTGCATTGAGGCTTGCCTGCATGCATGTCTGTGTGAGGGTGCCAGCAGAGAAACTGTTGACTGAAAATATTAAGAATGTCTGTATCTTCCAATTAAAAAATGAGGTACAGAGCTAAACAGAGAGTTCAACAGAGGAATCTCCAGTGGCTGAGAAGCACTTTAGAGAAATGTTCAATGTCCTTAATCACCAGGGAAATACAAATCAAAACTGCTTTGAGATTCCATCTTCTTCTGTCAGAATGGCTAAGACCAAAAACAAAAACTCAAGTGACAGCACATGCTGGCAAGGATATGGAGCAAGGGGAACCCTCCTCCATTGCTGGTGGGAGGGCAACTTTGTATAACCACTTTGGAAATCAATCTGGAACTTTCTCAGAAAATTGGGAATAGATCTAGCTCAAGAACCATCTTGGGGGTTGGGGATTTAGCTTAGCAGTAGAGCACTTGCTTAGCAAGTGCAAGGCCCTGGGTTTAGTCCTCAGCTCTGGAAAAAAAAAAAAAAAAAGACCCATCTATACCACTCTTGGGCATATACCCAAAAGATGTTCTACCATACCACAAGGACACTTGCTCAACTATATTCATAGCAGGTTTATTCATAATAGCCAGAAACTGGAAAGAACCTAGATGTCCCTCAACCAAAGAATGAACACTACTCAGCTGTTAACAACAATGGCATCATACAATTTGCAGACAAATGGATGGAACTAGAAAACATCATCCCAACTGAGGTAACCAGAGCCAGAGAGACATGCATGTACTCACTTAGAAGTGGATAACCATAAGTAAAAGATAACCACGCTACAATCCACAGACCCAAAGAAGCCAAGGAGGGCCCAAGGAAGGGTGCTGGAATCTCACGCAGAAGGGGAAATAAAACAGTCAGCTGAAGTGGATGGAGGGATGAAAGGGGATGGGAGAACGAGGTGGGGAGGGAAGGGGGGACAGGAAAGGAATGTAAATTGGTGGTGGTGGAGCCATCTCTGGAACAGGGGAGGCTCCTGGGAGTCTTGGGTATGACCCTAGCTGTGATTCCTAGCAGTAGGGGATATGGAGCCTGAAATCACCACCTCCTATAGCCAGGTAGGACTTCCAGTGGGGGAAGAGGGACACCAACACACCCATAAAAACCTTCAATCCAAAAAGTCTTGCCTACAGATAGTGCAGGGATAAAGATGGAGCAGAGATGCGGGAATGACCAACCAATGACTGGCCCAACTTGAGATCCACCCCATGAGAAAGAGCCAACCCCTGCCACTATTTGCTATGCTGGCAGACAAGAGCCTAGCATAACTGTCTTCTGAAAGGCTTTATCCAACAGCTGACGGAAACATGCAGAGACCCACAGCCAAACAATAGGTCAAGCTTAGGGAGTTTTGTGGTAGAGTGGGAGGCAAGTTTGAGGAAGCCAGAGGGGATAAGGACACCACAAGAAGACCTACAGAGTAAATTTACCTGGGCTTATAGGGGCTCACAGAGACTGAACCACCAACCAAAGAGCTTTCATGGGCTGGACCCAGGCCCCTACACATATGTAGCAGATGTACAGCATGGTCAACACGTGGGACCCTTCACAAAGGGAATAGGGGTCCTCTCTGACTCTCATGTCTCCCTTTGGATCCCTTCCTCCTAACTGGGCTGCCTTGCCTATATCTATAAGATGGTCTTATATGTCTGTATCTGATAAGATTTCTACTCAGAACATAAAAAGAACTTTTAAAATTCTGTAAGAGCAAGCAATTCATAGGGGGTGGGTATTTGAGTTACTTTCATAGAGGATGGGTTTTTTACTTACTTTCAATTTCTGGCACTGTAAATAAAAATTTCCTAACTATTCCTACACAGGTCATTAAGAAGATATATCTCCCTTTCTTTCTGGCACATACCTACACGTGAGATTGCCAGGTTCTATGGTAAATACAGGTTTAAATTTATGAGCTGCCAAACTGCTAAGATGGCTGAGCTATTTCTGTAGTCTTAAAAAGAATACATGAGAGCTGTAGATGCTTGGCTCATTCACTCCCCAGAGCCTATAAATGGCATCAGTCGATAAATTAATTAATCCCTCCATGAAGTCTGAGCCCTCATGTTCAAAAGCTCCACCTTTGATTACCAAGAACCACACCTTCTTCAACAGAATTTTCTCAGCAGGGTCTGATGTCTGCGGCAGAATATCCGAGAATGTGGCAATGCATTGCCAAGCCTTTTCTTCTGGCTAACAATTCTGTGCATTAGTAATATTGTTCAAAACTTCCTAAAACAGCCAGAATTGTTCTCTGTGGTTTGTATTTAAGAAACAATGACAAAAAGTCCCAACTCCCCTTAAGAAGATAGCCCTTTTTGCCATTATTTTTGACTCCCAAAGCTGTTCATTTGGTGCTCTATCTTATCTACTCTGCTACTGAGCAATGAACTAAAATTAGTTAATTGGTTTCCATCCCCTACACTAGGGAATAAATCTTTATACTAGAAGGCGTGTGCACATTATTAATCAGATTCAAAGCTTGGGATAGATATCTCTAACAGGTTCCTTCAACGCCCTCTACTGCACGTGTCGTGCGTGCTCTGTGACCTTTCCCCACCTGTTGTGGAATCTGGTGTGGCCTGTGGCCTTGTTCCTGCTGAGATGCTTCAAAGCCTTAATAAGAATGTCTGGGTTCCCATGAAACCCTACTATAGCCAGGTTTACCAGAAAATTTGGATAGGAATGGGGTTAACGACTTTCATCTTTTATAAAATCAGGAGAGCTGATAAAAGAAATAAAGCATTGAGAGGCTCCAGTTCTGCACTTGCCCATCATTAGCTGCTCCCTGAGTGGACTCAAGATCAATCACGTAGACTAAGATTAAGCAAGCGCTGTTAGATAGAAACACGGAACATCACTATACACTTGTCTAAGTACCGTTCACAATGTGGCATTAATAAATCTTTGTGAGAAGCATAAAAAAAAAAAAAAGAAAAAAAAGAAGAAACTTCCTACAAAATGATACAAATAAGTACTTAAATTATCTAATGTTCTTTTTATTTTCTAAATGTACTTCAGTGGAAAAGTAATACTAGACAGAAACCTTAAAACATGAGTGATTATTTTTAGACAGACATGGAATGTATAGATTCATCTAACAGACCCAATTAAAATCCAGCTTTGTGTTGTAGGTGACAGCAAAGAGAGGCATGCCAGCAAACTAATCTTTGTGCTGTCAGCTTCGTTTACAGTTACGGAGCGGCAACGATGTGCAGCCCAGGACCATTACCTATTTCCACTTGCAGTTCATAGTGAGAGACACTAGTGGAACAGATCGCTTCACTGGCTCTGGCAGATGGAGGTGACCAGGAAATGGCTGGCTCATCAACCTGCATTTTTTTTTTACAAGATAAAAATAAAATAGAATAACCATCATTAGTATCCCACAGCAATATGAGGTCTCGTAAGATGTTGGACTCAGAGTCAAGTTCACACATAAATTTAGCAGCATTTTTTTTTTACAAGAAAATAGAATAAACATCATTAGTATCCCAAAAGAAAACATTAATAGTTATCAGGAAGGTGCTGGAAGGTGGCTGAAGAAACTCTTAAAAAATATATATATATATATATATATAATTTATATAGTATTCTGCCTGCACAACAAAAGAGGGCAGTAGATCTCATTCTAGATGGTTGTGAGCCACCATTGAACTCAGGACCTTTGGAAGAACAGACAGTGCTTTCACTGAGCCATCTCTCCAGCCCCTGAAGAAACTATCTTAAGATCCAGAAGGAATTTACCACTTGCCAACTGATGTCAAAGAGATTTCAGCCTAAAGAGGGAAAGGCAGGAAAGTCATATTTACAAAGAGCAAGAAGCATTTTCCATCTCAGTTTCCAGCAAAACTTGTAGAAGGTGCTAAGAGTAGATGCTAATTGCAAAGTGTGTTTGAGGGAGGAACTGCAAGGATGTGTGAGGGATATTCCAGGCTTTGCTCTTGCGCTGAGTCTGAGGTGTATGCTCTGTGTTAACAGTCAAGAACAAACTCCACACCACAGTCTACTAAAATAGATGAAGACTTTCCTATGATGAAAGGAAGTAAGAGAGAGGTCAAAAGAAAAATAAAGCTAAGGAGATGGGAGCTGAGGGTTACAGGCCTCCCAACTGAAGGTGCCCGTGGCAATATGAGGTCTCATAAGGTCAGAGTCAAGTTTGCAGCTAAATTTAGCAGCAGTGCAATATCACACATGGAGCAGAAAGAGGAAGCCCAACTCCATGGCATAATATGATATCCTTGAGGCTCTCCTAAAGGACAGCAGGACCCCGAAGGACACTTAGAATCTTTACAGCAGGTGGCAAGAATCTTGGGCCTCTCTCTAATGAGGCGAGAAGGAAGGGGGAAAACAGCATTACTATGTGTCAGAAATTGTGCTAATTCCTTTATATATCCATCTATTTAATCAGGAGAAATAGGTAGAGTTTGAAGCTAATAGATGGAGTTATACAGATCATGGCAAGTATGTTTCCTAAACTTGAGAGCAGACTGCTAACACTTTTTTTCTGGTTAAGCAGAGATAAAGGTGGGTGATATCTAAGAAGAACCAAAGAGTGAGAGAGAAATTATACAAGTGAAAATAAGCCCCATTTGGGGTGGATGACAGTGTAAGTCAATTTGGTTTCTCTGGAACAGATGTAAAGAAAACATACACTAAAAAGAAGCATGTGTAACAATGTCCTAAAATTTTAAGGTGACAGCAATCTGTAAGTCTGTTAGAAATCCTGGAGACATAAAGCACCAAGGTTTACTTTTATAACTTAAAAAATGGCATGGGGAGGAGAGACGGCCCAGTGGTTAAGAGCATTTGCTGCTCTTCTACAGGTCCCAGGTTCAACTCCTAGCACCCACACAGCTGCTCGCTAGAACTGGGTTACATCTGTAACTCTAGTTCTAGGGGTTCTAATGCTCTTTTCTAGCCTCAGCAGGCACTTCATGCATGTGGTACACATACATACATGAAGGCTAAACACCCATACACATAGAATAAGGCAAATTTTTTGAAAGGGAAGTGACATAATGTTACTGCATGATGGGCTGAATCAGCTCACCAGCCTGCCTCTAACTCCCTCCATCTACGGATTGCATAGTCTTCTTAAAACAAGAGGAAGCATACATGTACAGGCAAATAAATATTCAAAGGCGGAGGGTCTTTTTGTTTGTTGTTTCTGAGACAGGGTCTACCTCCACAGCCCAAACTAACCTTGAACATGCTCTCCTCATGTTCCAGTCTCTGTTGCTATGATCACACACTGAACCACCAACCCTCATCCAAGAGCAACCGTTTTTACCAGTCATCCAGTCCTTCTTCCTTTAGTTTTGATTTTCCTTCCTTTCTTCCTTCTTTTTCTTTCTTTCTTTTTTTTTTTTTAAAGGAAATGCCTCACTCCATAGCCTAGACAGGCTTGAATCTGTGGCAATTCTCCTGTCTCAGTCTTTCATATTAGGAGTACAGACATGAACTACCATTATCTGGGAAGAGACGCAATTTTCAAAAAGTAGAATACTACAAAGCAGCAAGTTTGATGCTTCTGCACAGAAGAAACTGAGATCAAATGAGCAGAAGAAATATGAGCCATGAAGAAAATCTCATGGCAATTGTAAGAAGACAACATGGGTTTACAGAGACTGCTCATCTCAAACTAGCCTCACTTCTAAAGATTTTAAAAAGCAGAATTATGGTAGGCTCCTTGTCCTCCTTTCATTTCTGTTGCTGTGATAAAATACCCCGACAAAAGCAAACTTGGAAAGAAACAGTTTACCTTGGCTTATAGTTCCAAAAAAACAGAGTCCACTACAGAAGCAAAAGCAGAAATGCAGAAGCACAAGGCCAGCTTACAACCGCATCAGAGGTCAAAGAGCAAGGGAGAGCAGGAAGGAGGACCAGGCCACAAAATCTCAACGCTCACCCCAGCGATGTAGCTTCTCCACCAAGGCTCACCTCGTAAAGGTTCCATATCCCTCCCAAACCATAACACCAGTCGAGGACCAAGTGTTCAAATGAGCTCACGGAGATATTTCAAATTCAAACCACAGCCATCTTTAACCCAGGCAGTTGTTTAATGACTTCCTGAAGATGCAAAAGGCCTAATTTAGGAAGGAAAATCTGCTGGATCTTTCTAACAAGACTTCATAGAAGGCTGTCCACTGGTTTGAGTTTTAAACCATGTACTGAGGTCTGTTGCTTAGCTATCTGAGTCAGAACCTGGATTCAGACAGCAAACCCAGGGAATGTTCTTAATAGCCACATTGTTTACACTAATTGTCTTTAATGTCACCAGTCTTCAGTGAAGTGTCATGGGGAACAAAAATCATAATTAGAAATTGTATAGTTTCTAATGGGAGACTAATGTCAGATGTCAAAGTACTTAAATTTGTATCATTTTAACCTAACATTTAATCCAGTGTACAGTATCCAGCCTGACAAAAAGCTACAAGTCACCAACAGGAGGCAACTGATAGTGTCTTCAGCAGGCCTGGGGAGGGCTCAAGAAGCCTTTTCTAAGCACTATTTACCAGTGTTCAGCAGGGCTCAATTTCCTTCACAGATCTTCTCCAGTCTGCTTTTCTACACAAGATGTCAAATCATACCTCTGCTTCCTTCACTTAAGATTTTTGTCTAACTTACAATACAAAAGAGCTTCAACTCAGAGGTTACAAGAATACCAGCAAGGAAATTCCAGAGTTTCAGGTCTCAGTAACAGCACAGAGACAAGTCATGTGACTGAGTTCCCTCAGCCTGAAGGGCAGTAAGGGTTGGAGACCATCTCCTATTATACAAAAAGGCAAGTAACTTAAAGATAGAATTTTGGTGAATAAAAATGGTAATAGTTAAAGCAGGCCTGAGATAAATTATAAGCAGAAATAACTGGAATTACCTTATGTAGTAACAAATTTTTCAAAGCAGGTTTCATTGTATAGTAAAAATTGTAGTATAAATCCCGATTTAGAGGAGTAAAGATTTCAGAGACATATTACCAAGTATGTCCCTTTAAATATCACCTAATATGTCAGACACTGCTTAGGAGAATCAATGATATGTAAGACAAGGATGCCCCTTCCATGAGAATCACACTATGGTTGAAGACACACAGACCTCACAGTGCAGTAACAACTGTTTCACGAGAAGGTCCTAGGTGACAACACAATGAAGTAAAAAAGACCCAAGAGGGAAGAGTTATAGATACACAATCTGAATTCATTCTTTATGGATGAGGAGAAATTTCAGGGGAGGGCAGAAACAAGAGTATTTCAAGCAGTGAGAAGAGAATATACCAGTAAGAAAGGAGACTCAAAAACTGGTCGCATACCATACCATTGGGAGTCAAGCTGGGAGATTTGGACTTTACCCATTGGCTTCAAAGCAGCAGCAGCAAGCATCTTGGAACAGTACTGAAGGCTAGTGTGACTATTGTGGGAGAGGCTGCAAGTGTGAACACACTACAGGCAAAGACTATGCCCAACAGGCCAGGTTGGAGATGAGACTGAGTAGTGGGCTCCTGCTCCTGAAGGGAGGTGTGCAGGCAGCACGAGGAGAACTCTGATGTTTCTAGTATGCATGACTCGAGTTAGCCAAATTGAGAAGTACAGGGGCTGGTAAGATTTGGAAACAGATTAAAGTTTCAGTCAAATCAGTAGAAATGCCCTGGCAAATCTAATCTGATGTAGTAGTCCATTAATAATGCCAGGGCCCAGGGAAGAGTAAGTCTGTTCTGCTGAGAACAGCCAAGGCAGCTCCAGGACAGCATGAAACCTCAGTCCCTGGAACCATAGGAATGGATGGCACTACTCAGGGAGAGGAGGTTAAGAGGTCAGTCATAGACACTTAGAGACCAGCAGGAAGAAGAAAGAGTGAGAACAGAGCTATGAGGATGAACAATATTACAGAAGGCAAAGGACAAGCATTAGCCATGCTCAACCATTTTCTTACCAAGTACTGATGGATACTGGTTTCTGACTGTTTTTCGGGTCTGAGTGATTCAACTCGTGTTCGTGAAGCACAGAAACAATCCTGGAAGTCAGAAATACATTAGATAAGTGAAAAGTGTGATACACACGCAGTGCTAGCCTGTGTGTAAAGAGCTGGCGTCAGAGCTGGGAGAGAGAGCCAGCCCAGACGGAGTCCTCACGGGGATGGGACAGAGAAGTAGCCAGGTGCACAGAAGACTATCATCACTCTGCTACCGTTGTGTTCAGTGCCATCTCTGCTCTTAGCATCACTTTTCTTGAGGTTATCAATCTATTTTAACTGTTGTTCTTAACTTCTAAGTCTTTTAGCACCACAGAAATTTGCCAAATTCCTAAATATTTGGCTAAAAATTATCTCCTATTAAGCTGAAAATTATTCTGCTGTAGTCAATATATATATATATATTTATTTATTTTATTTATTTTTTTTTTCCTGAGACAGAGTTTCTCTGTGTAGCCTTGGCTGTCCTAGACTCTAGGCTGGCCTTGAACTCACAGAGATCCGCCTGCCTCTGCCTCCCTGAGTACTGGGATTACAGGCGTGAGCCACCACTCCTGGCTTGTATGCAATATTAAACATTTTTTTCCCATATTGTTTTCCTAAATATAGGAATCATGTTTTCCTACTTTAAATAATGTATTTCACTATGAGCACAATGACTATATTTGTAACCAATTTTGCTTCTGAAGGTGACAAACATGTCCAACTCAAAGCAAATTAAGAGACTTGCTTCTATTACCAAAATTTACATTTTCCTGAGTATCAATTCATAGTTTTACTATCAGGTATTGCCTATAATGAAATGTAGTATCTATATGTTATCTATCCCATCAGTAATTAATGGAGTGATACTGATCTATTTAGAAAGAAAAAAGTCAGAAGAAAAGTATAAGCACATTATAGGAGAGACTTTTTTCTTCTTCTTTCTTTCTTTTTTTTTTTTTTTTTTTTTGTTTTATGTTTTTTCAAGATGGAGTTTCTCTGTGTAGTCTTGGCAGTCCTGGACTTACTTTGTAGACCAGGCTAGTCTCGAACTCACAATGATCCACCTGCCTCTGCCACCCAAGTGCTGGGATTACAAGCATGTGCCACCATGCCTGGCTTATGAGAGACTTTTGTGATAAATGATTTTCAAGTGTCTCATCAACACATATGTCAGCACTGAAACACAGTATCACGTGAGCCTCAAAGTCCACCCATGTCTGCTAACACTTTATTGTCAGTTACTTAAAAGTACTCCCATTTATTTCTTCTAGAACACACAGATATGTCTCAAGCTGGTGTTTTCCAGCTAGGCCAATCTAGTAATCATTTTACATGGACTCCAGCACTCTGAATCTCAGAATCCTCATCACTCAGGTGAAGGGACTAGTGAAAAGGGCATTACACATCTTTTCTCACTTGCAACACCATGTAAACCTGTCAATCTTAAAATTTCTTGAGGACAGGGATCAACAAACTATGGTCCAGTACACAGTCAGAGTTTTAATTGTTTTCTTTATAATTTCCACACTGCTGATGGCTGCTTTTGAGCTACGAGGGCAGAAAAGCAACAGCATGTTCTTATCTTCTGTAATATCTTCCTATATTGCAGAGAGGATTCGCTGACCCCACTTTGAAGAAGGAAGCATTTCAATGTATTTTCCAGATGCACACATTTACAGCAAATGTGTTATATATTTTCCATAGAAAGCAACAACAGCCTCCTAACTCTATAGTTCTACCTCCCAGCCTGGGTGGCTGCTACAGCAGAATGGCAGGATGAATCCAAACATTGGCTCTAATTTTTGGCAATCATGAGCAAACTTAAATGAGGGCGCTGCTGCCTGCCCTGCTGAGCTCACATAATTTTAGAGAGCAGGATCACTGTCCTGATGTTAACCTTTCCAATACTATAGTGAGTATAACCAAAAGTCCTCAAGCTACTTACTCTAAAGCAGATGTTATGTATCTAATATACAAATATGTCCCATTGTAGCTTACATAATGCAAGCATTCAAAAAAAAGTCTTTTCAGATTAAGTCAAAGGTTTCTTTTTAAACACTATCTTACCTGCCTTGGAAAACACATTAGAATTTATACAAAGAATTTTTGAAGTTTTAAAAGAAAATCCATAACTAACTAATTGGGACTGGAATCTAAGAAAATATACATATGAAAAAATGGGTTTGGAACTAAGAATAGGAATAATGGGTATATTTGAAAAGAAAGTGCAGGAGAAACTCATTTTGAGAAAGACAAAATTCATTGAGAGTTTATATCATCCTCAAGACCACATGTCATTTAGGTCAAAACATCTGAATGTCTTTTTGTTCCAGATCTGATTACTCTGATGGCATACAATTGTAACAAGACTTACCAAAAGAGACATTGAATCGCTTTAGTTCACAGAAAGTGACCAAATTCCATCTATTTTCAAAGATTTTTGCTTTATCTTCCCTTCCAGGTGCAGATATATCCACTAAAAAAAAAAAAAAAAAAGCAAAATTACTTAGATTTACATAAACTCCTCGAAGAACTAGATGTCATAGCTGACCAGATATTTAGGCTGCGGCTCATTGACACAAAGACCAGTGACATCCCTGAGTGGCTTTAAAAACACTGTTCTGACGTGGCAGGAAGCTAGAGAGTTTCCACATCCAAAGTCTCTTTCTCTCCTTTTCTGCCCTGAACAAGCATGAAGGGATACAGACAAGTGATTGTGGACCCTCTTTATGTAAGGAGTGTGCCACTTGCAAATAAATTCTAATAATCTCTAATGACTGCATTACAAGTAAACTCGGGGGATCTTCAAAGACATCTGACTAACCACCTCCTAACTCGTCAGGTCCAGGATTCACAAATCTGAAACATCATTTATAATGGGCTAAAACAAATAAATGCTTGTTGCCATGTGTTTAGAAAAGAGACTTCCTGGTTTTCATGTAAAATGATGTTTTCACAAGTTGAATCTTTTACTTTATGATCTTTAGTTCTCAACTATATCCAACTTGGAACGTGTTGACAGACACAAATTATATGTATTATTCTGCAAACAACTCCTGTCCATTTTCATTCACAGGCTCAGCACTCCAGCAGGGTAACTTCTTGAGATTCAAGGAGCTACAAAAATCACCACCCAGATCTTGTGTGTCTCATCCAGTGGTGAGGACAACACTGTTAGTGATGGCCATTCCCTTCTAAACACCATTTCTTGAAACTGGGTTTCATTGCTTCATTTTAGTCAAAGTCCATATTTGACCAAGGCTTCTACAAATAGTTAAACAATAGGAGAAAAAGAAGATTTTATAGACCATAGATTTTATAAAGTACTATCCAATTTTATTGCTGAGGGCAGAAGTGGATGTTTGCAGGGCAAAGGTAGAGGAAGGGAAAGAAGGGCCAGAAAGCTTATTATTTTGTCACCTGAAAAGCATTGCTGTCAACTTAAGGCATGGGGGCAGGGGCTGGGTATGGGGTAAGGAAAGCTATGCCTTGCTGCCTACCCTCCAAGAGGACTGAAACCAAATGAATGTATACAACACTTTATATACACTCTATGTGTGTAAAAGACAAATGTAGCCGGGCGGTGGTGGCACACATCTTTAATCCTGGAACTCAGAAGGCAGAGTTGAAGGCCAGCCTGGTCTACAGAGCTAGTTCTAGGACAGCCAGGGCTACACAAAGAAACTCTGTCTCAAAACAAAAACAAACAGACAAAAAACCCAAAAGACAAGTGCAACACGTTAAGACACACTATTGAGGCTCATACGGAAAGCAAGCTGGCAATATCTGAATAACAGTGAAAATATTTATAGCTTGTGACCCAGGAGAAGCCAAGGAGATATCAAATACCAAAAGAAACCACACACAGAAAGTTTGTATTCACACACTCAATGAATAGCCAGTATGGGAAAGGCACTGCAGACTAGTACCAACACCCGGCTCTGACCTGCTGCCGACCACCTGCAGCAGAAAGCTCTTGTGACTGACTTAATTTTTGTGGTTGTCATGATTCTGCACCTGCTTTTCACTTAGTATCAGCAAGTGGTTATTGAGTCTGTTGCTTTAAACAACACAATGATTTGAAAAAAAAAAAAAATTCAGGTCACAATCTTCTAGAACTGTTACTACCCAAAGGATTGCTCCTTTCTGTGGGGTGGTTCAATCTCGGGAGTTTTGCCTTGGATAGACCACACTGTTAACAGATAAGTTTTCAAGACATTTTGAGGTCAAGGCCGCAGCTGTACCTGGCAAAGGAGTGGAGTGAAAGATTTGCTGTTAGTTTTTGCTATCACGCTATGATTAGAAATCCTTAAAAGAAAAAAAAAAAAAAAAAAGCATGCCTTTAATTTCAGCATTCAGGAGGCAGAGATAGAAAGAAGCAGGCTATCAACACAGTGAGACCCTGTCTTTAAAATGTGTATATATGTGATATGAATATATATTTAAGGAGCCTGTATTCCCAAGCCTATTGGTCAGTACTTCAGTGTAGCTCCTTCAGTTGTTCCTAAAAAGCTAATTACAAGAAAGCTTCATAAATAATCTAATTTGTTCCATAATATCGAAGTCATACCTGAAGTTTTTCATTTGAAAAATTAACGCTTTAAAGGGACACCAAAGGGGCTATGTATTTACAGAATCTACCAATTCCCTTTGTCGGTCATCAAAATTACCATAATTCTCAAGGTGATCTTGAAATCTCCTAAAACCCTAACAAAGATCATAGCAAGGCACACAGCTCAGTAGCATTTACCGAACTTAGTATCATGACTCACAGTTTCAACAAATATTTACGGAGCTCCAAGCACTGTGCTAGGTGGGTGCTGTCACAAACCGCGATCAAGTCTGGAGGAAAGGTATTTGACACACAAACCCAGGAGGGGAAAACAAACGTAAACACCGAAGGCAAAAGGGCGCCTGGACACTGAATTTTGGGACAAGGTCCCTTCGAAGTCTCCGAGCAGACAGGGTTTGGGAAGCCGCCAAGGCCTGCGTGTGCCACAAAGGTGAGAGCCCGGGGGGGGGGGGGGGGGCGGGGGGCCCTGCACCTGGCAGCGCCGCTGGACACTCGGCCGCGGGGCGCCTGGCACGCGGGGCGCGGGCTCCCGCAGACGCCGGCCGGCCGAGCTCGGCCCCACAGCCTTCCGCCGTGCCCCACCGAGCTACGCTCCCTAACGACCCCCGCGTCCCCGCACCGTGCCCTGCCCGCCCGCCTCCCTGCATTACCCCGGCGGCGACCCAGGCCGGCGACTCTCCGGACGGCGGGCGCTGGGGGAGGCGACACGCGCGAGCCTCCGGACCTGCCTCGCGGAGCAGCGGGGCGAGCACACCAGGCCCGCTTCCAGCGCGGGCCTCGGGGCACAGAAGTGCAGCACGGCCGCGACGAGGCTCGTCGGCCTGGACCTCTAGCCCTAGCCCCGGGCGGCCGAGGGGACGGGATCCGCCCCACCCTGGCGGGGTCGGGGCCGCCGCTCCGCCCCACCTCGCCTCCAGCCTCCAGCTGGGCAGTGAGGAGGCGGGGTCCTAGAACTGTAGGCGGAACGGAAAGGAAACTACAGTTCCCAGAGGACCGTGCACTGGGGCCGCAAAGGCTTCTGGGAGAGTGGGTTTCCTAGCTTTCCTAGCAGAGTAGGGGCTGCCATTGACCCGGCGTCACTGCAGATCCAAGGTCGCCGAATGATGATGTGAAAAGCCGCCCGCCAGTGCCTGCCACGCCCGTGCGGTTAGCTGCGGCGGCGGCAGCTTCGGCTGCTGCTCTCAGGCTGCCGCAGCGTTAGGGACTTCTTCCTGAGCGAGTGCGGGCGGAGGAGCGACGACCCCGGGCCGTCCCCGTGAGTAACCTTCCGCGTGTGACTAGAACTTGCTCTTGTCAACTTCTCCCGAAGGCAGGGGAGCCTTCCTGCCCCCGTCCCTCCGGTCCCCGGAGGTCACTCGCGGGAGGTCCCCGCCCCGAGATGGGAAAAGGATGTTTTCCGAGTGTGGGTGCAAAGTGATGGGAGATGGGCGCTAGCCTCCGAGTTCACCCCATCTGCACCTCTGAGGATAGGCAGCTTCCCATCCTCTGCCAGACAGCATCCATCTGGAGGATGAGTGGCTTTAGTGTCTGGACGTTAAACCCTAAGCTGTCGGTGGCCATCTGTGATATAAATGGGAGGAGAGGACGCTAGAAAGGGCTCTTTCTGTGTAGGGCTTTTCTTTGCAGTTGATTTAGAGCCAGACGCCACATGTCTTTTAAAAGAAAAATGGAAAGAAAGAAAAAAAAAAAAAAAAAACGTAGACTTTAGGTTGAAGTGAAAAGAATGAATAATTGGCAGGTGGCCTTTCCAGTGCCAGCACTTCTGAGTCCCAAACTTTTTTTTTTGTTTTTAAATCACAGTCATGGTAGTGAAGTCAGTTACCTGCTTGTGCACCTTTTTCTGCATCAGGAAAGATGGTAATTTTTCGCTGGAAATTCACCTCGCTTATATGGACCACAGAACAAAATGAATTGGACTCAGAGTTCTTGCTCTGCCTTAGTAAAAATTTTTGTGACCTTCAAATCTTTGCTGTCCTATTAAAAGTCTGAGCCACAGTGATCTCCAAGTAGAATATTAATGGTGGTGACATGACACTTGAAAACAAGTTGTGAAGGACATTTGGTGGTGGGGAAGGGCTAAATTAAAAGGACTTTATCATCTCAGCAACTATCCAGCTTTCTATTTTTAAAAGTAAGTAGTATCCAACAAAGCTCAGACGTTTAACCAGCAGCACATACCTATGTGAAAGACGGTGTCTTTCATCTTACACATTTTTACTTATGTGATGGAAGGAAGAAGGAAAGAATCAGCCAGTGTCTGCATACTTGAAATCTGCCAGGCACCCAGTTCAGCGTTTTATGTACATGGTTCACATAATCACGTTAACAAACCAGGTGCTCATAATATGAGACTCAGAAGACTTTATGTAACAAGTCGAGATTTACATGTAGACCTGCTTTGCTACAAAGCTATGGATCAGGTATCGTTTATTCTAAAAACCGAATGGTTACAAAGAATTTCTCATTTTGTTTCCATTTCCTTGTAGTAGTTCTATCATACCTTAAATATGGATAAGTCCATAACCCCTACTTTAGTACTCTGAACAAATTGTACACTCTGCCTCCTAGTCTCATCCCTCAAAGAACTGCTCATTAAGACACTAAGAGCTCATTCCAGATCTACCTGGATGCACTTATTTTTTTTTTTTTTAAATGATAGGGTTGGACTTGAATCACAAAGGTCTTCTCCAGTTCTCAGGCTTTATGGTTCTACAGTTATTATTCTTCACTGTGAATGCTTTATATCCATAGTCATAAAGACTATGAAAATTTGCCTTTTAAGTTTTTTATTTCGCCGCCCAAAATATGTTAAAGCCAGCATAAGGGATGTGAGGTGGTAACATTGTCGTTCATACTCATTTTCATCTCTTCTATAGCTCATTTATATCATCTCTCTGGTTCCCTTTTTTGTTTTGGGTTTTCTTGTTGTTTTTTCTTGTTTTACTTTTTTGAGACGGAGTTTAACTGTGTAACCCTGGCTGACCTGGAACTCACAGAAATCTGCCTGCCTTTGCCTTTTGAGTACTGAGATTGAAGTGGCGTCCTACCATGCCTGTCTAGTTTTTAAAATGAGGTTTGTTTGTTTCTTTATTGCTGTGCATGTGTGCCTGGGAGCATTCATTCATGAATGCATGCGGTGGTCAGAGAACAGCTTGTAGGATTCAGTTTTCTCTTTCTGCTGTTTGGGTCCTGGGAATCAAACTCAGGTCACCAGTGTTGGTGACATGCGCCTTTATCTCTCAGCCACCTTGCTGGCCCTGGACAAGTTTTGAACCTCGTTATTCTATTGAGTTGGAAAGAAACCTGAGTCATTGAAGTAATAGTCACATTGAACGTCCAATAATATCTGTTCAGACGTGCAGTGTTCTTGTAATAGCAATAATAGGAAGCATAGAAATAATACAGTATGCTGGATACCCAATGGGATGTTTTACCTAGTTATTGCCATAATAGCACCATCACAGGTTTTTTTGTTTTTGTTTTTGTTTGGTTTTTTTTTTTGACAGACAACTAAAGCAGAAGAATATTAAATGTGCTCCAACTCATGTAATTACTGAATGGCAGAAGTGGCTGTCAAACCAGCCATGATCAAACCTTTACTTCAACATCTAAGCTCCTAACTGGGTAACAAAACTCTAACCAACTAGTTTTATTGTGATTTAATTGTTTATTACAACTACTTTAGTTAGAATGGAAATTTAACATTAAGTGACTTTCGAGCCAGGATTTGAACCTATGTATCTTTTCCATCAAGGCACATACTCTTCCCTCTACTTCTCATCAGATCTTTATTAAATATTCTCTCTAAGTTGCTGTCTTAGGTAATAAGGGTAATCTTCACTGCTGAGAAATATATCCTGGAGAAGAGAAGCAAGAGTTGTGTTAGTATACTGAGCAATATGACAGCAGTGCTCAGAGACTAGAAACAGAGAAAAGGCACTGAATCACCCAGGATGGGAAGGCTTGGGCCAGTCTTGGAAAAACAGATGGGAGTTAGCTTGGTTAGGGAAAGGGGGGGGGGGAGAGCTGTAACAGGCTCGATTATGTCCTCTCAGAATTTTTATGTGGTAGCCCTAGCTAAGCCTCTTTGCCTGAGAATGTATCTGTATTTGTGCAGGCCTTTTGAGGTGACTAAGTTAAAATGAGACCATTAAGGGGATCCAGTGCAAACTGACAGGTGTTCTTACAAGAAAAAAAGTGGATACACAAAAAAGATACACCTGAAAGGAAGGTGCAAGTAAAAGTTATCAAGAAGGCCAAGAAGAGAGGCCTCAGGGGAAACCAAACCTTCCAGTATTTTTATTTTAGGCTTCCAGCTCTCTGAACTCAGAGAAAACAAATTTCTCTTATTTAAGCAGTCCAGTCTGTGGTACTTTGTCTTTGTAGTCCCAACAAATAGCAAAACAGGTGTTGCAGGCAAAGGGCATGGCAGACAAAAAGCCTTTGAGATGTGACTAGGTGATTCAGGTTTCATGGTAAGCTTTGAGAGATGAAGCTAGAGACTGGGCTGGGAAGATAAGGATGACTTTGTATGAGATCCAAGGAGGTTTAAACCAAAGGAATAAAATGGAGGGTTTTGTAGCCGTGGGAGAACAGTACATTTGCGTTTTAGAAAGACTGTGGCAAATGGGAGAAAAGCTGAAGCAGGGAGACCAGTTCAAGTGGCTATTTACTATAAGAAACTTAAATTCTCAAAATGTAAGGCAGACTATAGTAGTCACGGCTGGATGTGGGGATACGGCCCTCCAGGTAAAGGCACCTGTCACCTGAGATTGGTCCCTGGGACCCTCATGATGGACTGAGAGAACTGAGTCCCATGGATTGTCCTGCGGCATCACATGTGCCCCAGGGTGCAGACAAGCACATATACACACCAAATAAATAAATATAGTGAAAAAATCACAGCCAATCTTAGGCCAGATGATTTAGAAAGAGTTTGCATATACCTATTTTTACTTAAACTTTGCTTTGTGTTTGATTTTTTTTTTGCATAGATTGTAAAGTTTTACACAACTATCACAAAATGTGCAATAGTTTGCCACCCTAACGAGTGATTTTTTTTTTTTTTAGGGATCTTTTATCTTTGGGACACTTTTATATTATTTACACTCTTGTAATCCCTTCCTCTGGCTGCCTATAAAATATGTACTGTTAATCTCCTTTTGTACACAAATATATAGAAACATAGGCTACGTAGTTTTTCTAGGTACACACAAATAATGAAGAGCCAAAATACAAAAAATTATTAAAGGTATTCAACCATGTGTGACAGAAAGCAGGGAGAAAGGGAAATGAGTATATTTGTTCTAAGTAATAGACAGTTTATCTGAGGGGATAAGGAATAACTATTTTTTAAAAAGGGCTTAAAATGTTTATTTAAAAACAAACAAAAAGAATGACAGGAGGTAATGCTCATTTTGAGTTGAGGCTCCTGGAAAAACATGATGAAAGAAGGCATTTGCGCTATTTAGAATTTGGATTTGTAGAATTGAGGGAGAACATCAGAACTGGAAGAAATTATGTGACCAATTATAGGATTGAGGATTTCCGGTGTTTTTAGAGAACTAGTAAATGCTTCCCTTTGTTTTGGCTGAATTTGTTGTCTGGTTGGTAAAAGAAACAGGAGAGTCAGCTTGTTGGGAGGTGATAGATTCTTTTTCTTTTTTTTTTTTTTAAATGTACATGAGCATTTTGCTCACGCGCATGTCTGTGCACCGTGTGCATGCCTTGGAAGTTTGAAGAGGGCATTGCAACCCTTGGGGCTAGAGTGATGGACAATTGTGAGCTGTCGTGTGGGTACTGAGGACTGAACCTGGGTCCTCTGCAAGAACAAGTCGTGAGAGTCCACCTCTCTGGCCCCACTTTAAGAATGAATGAATGAAGCATTTGCTGGATGGCATCTTTTTATAAGG